CCCCAAAACCCCAAAACCCCAAAACCCCAAAACCCCAAAACCCCTTACTGAGTAGTAAAACTGAAGGATCTATTTTTAAATTATTTATAGTTTAAAAGAACTCAGCTTACGAAGCATCTCCTTCTTCATCAGAGTAAACTTCATCTTCCTCAGAGATCATATCCTCTTCTTCTTTCAACAAGGCTTCAGATGCAGGGAGGGCATCATCTCCTACTATGATTTCAGTTGTCCTGAGAACCTCTTCTACCATCTCGGATTGAGACTCATTAGCTAGCATATCTTCATTGAAATCTTTAGCATTCTGGATCATCTCGTCTAACCTCTGCATTTCCTCGTCGTCTTCTTCAGGGACTTCCTCAATAATCTTCTCTGTAGGGACAACTGTATTGACTCCCACAGGTAATTTCATTGCGTTACCTCGCATAGAAGAGAACTTGAGAGCTGCAGCTTTACTAGAGATCTCTCCATTGTTGTTAACAGTCTCCAGTTCTCCTTCTTCAGCTAGAAATTTGTTGTTCTCTTCAATCGCCTTCTTCAGAAGGGCTTCCTTCTCTTCAATTTCTTTCATAATGTTAGCTAAGTTATCCTCTTGCTCCTGGAGACGTTGCTTGAGACTTCCTTCTTCAGCAGTAATTTTCTTGTGTTCCTCTTCAGCTTCTTTCTGTTCTTCCTCTGGTTCATCATCATCAACGGGAAAATTTCCTTCTTTATATGCTTCAAATCTCTTAGTGAGATCATCTAAGAGTTCTTGAGCTTCATCGAGCTTGGTATTCTCACTACTGTAGAGTACAACTTCTTGTGAGTAATCCTTTGTAGGGGTTGAGTTGTAATCCTCATCATCTTCATCTTCTTCATTTGTTTCCATCATGGCTACTTGATCGTTCTCCTTTTGACACTCTTGGATGAGTAAGCTCATCTGGTCTTCGGTAATACTTGCTGTATCAATATTACGAATTCTGTCCAGATTTGACTCGATTTCCTTCAAAGATTGCTTAGACAATTTATCCTCAGCTTCATTTCTGAGGAACTTATCTTTTGGCAAACTCACAGGCTTGTTCAGTTTGGACACCAACGAATGGCTGATCCCTGAAATCCCACTCCTCTTGGAGAACTGTGAAAGTTGCACAGATCTCTCTGAAAAGATATCAGCATTTTTATCACTGCTCTTACCTCCTCCAAACACAGAGGATTGCATATTAGCCATACTAGAAACCTCATCATGATCAGATTGGTTTTCTTCTGCTGGAGGCAAGGCTAAGAACCTCGTTCTTAATTGATCGTTAATCTCCTCAACTCTTTTTCCATCCTCATAAACAAATGCATTTTTCATACCACGAGTGGCATCAGTCTCGCCAGCTTCAGGTGCAGGCACTAAAGAAGACATCAACTCTAGTCTTTCCTTATCAGATTTATCAGAAATGGCCAATAATTTTTGAGCATTTTCTTCGTCACCTAGGAAACTTTGCTCAATTTCATCTTCAAGTTGCTGAAGTCTCAGTTTCTCGTGATCGCTCAGCCTATCAGTGTAACTTTTAGCATGATTTCCTCCAATCTTTGAGGCATTTTCTTTGATAAAATCAACCTTAGATTCACCATTGCTGGACATTTGAGAAGATATCTCTGATTTGTACTTCTTACGCCTCTCTGGCGCTTGTGAAATAGCTTCTTCATGAGCAGTTATCATCTCTAGTTCATAGTTCTTGTTCCTGTCAAATTCTGGGTTCACATCGATTCCCATCTCGTCTTTGATCCTTTTGTCCATTTTGGAATATTTGTCCTGGTTCTGAACACCAGTAAGGAAAGTGCTACTATCATCTTCAGTTGGAGCTTGCTTCGGTTTTGGTGGCTTATTACCCCTTTTTGAAGAATCAGGTCTCCGCATCCCAGTGAAAGGATTTGTTGAAAACCCTTTTGAACTTTTTAATGACTTCTTGCTATTTTTAGAGGATTTAGAAGCATTTGATCTAGCGGATGCTCTCGAACTCATCTTCCGGGTGTTAGATTTTATATAATTCTTGCTCTTCATCTTTACCTGTTTATTTTTCTCTTCTTTCTCCTTATCAAGCCTATACCGAGTCTCTTCATCCCTGAGAGTAGCTTGTGCTTTCATTGCTTTATAAACTTTATTTGTCTGTGTAATTTCTCTATCAAAATCTCTAATCCTGGCATATTCCTTCATTAATTTCTCTTGAATTTCAACATTAGATGTTTTGCTTTCTTCTTTAATTTCTTCAGCTGTTTGGATCCCTTCTTTTTGCAGTAGCCTCTGATAAGTCGGATCTGACTCTCCCAAATAATCGGCTTTGAAGTAGTTCATCCAGAAAGGTTTTTCTTTGTCATTGAGTTCGACTCCTTCTTCATTGGCCATTTGCTGTTCTTCGACTGCGATATCAACAATATCATCGAACTCTTCTGGGATGTTGACAAGCTTATTTCCTTCATCGTCACATTTGGATTCGATGTCATCGAAAAACTCCTCTCAGTCTGCTAAGGCGAGTTGTTTTTGCTTGTGAAATCCTTCTAGCTGCTTGGCAATTCTGGCTCGAATATCATCAATTCCTTCTCCATCATTCTCCTCAGTGCTTGGTTCTTGAGTCTTATCCTTCTTGGAAGGTACAGGAGGCTTATACAGAATTTGTTTTGGCTTTTCCGCACTATTCCTGTCTAAAATGATCACAAAGAAAAATCTTACCTTGATCCTTTAAATCTTCATATGAAATTTGGCTGTGAACATCAACTTCAGACTCAGAACAGATAGAAGAGCTCATGCGGTGCTCTTCAATTCTATCCTTCATATAATTATTATCCATTACTTGTCTCTGGAGCTCCTCTCTGCTCTGGTTTTCGTCAACCAATTGGTCAAGTTCTTGACCAAATGCCCCAAACTGTTTCATATTTTCTAAGTAATTTGTAAATTCATTGACTTTTTCTTCACGTTCTTGTAAGGCATCCTGAATAGATTTGGTGGTCGATTCTCTGTCTCAATCTTCAAGGCCGATCTCCTCTTCATGGGCAATAGGCTCATACTTCTCTTCTCGGATCCTGGGAGGTTTGAATTTGCCCGAAAAGGGCCTAGATCTAATCCTTTCTTTCTGCTCGTTAGAAATAGCTACCTGCTGATTATTATCGTAGAAGGAGCTGGAGGAGGAACGCATGCTCTCCAGTTCATCGAAATCCGCTCCGAATTTGTTCTGTTTCACCTCAGGACCACTCTTCTTTGCCAGAGCTGCATTAATCCTCTTACTAGGCTTTGAATTTATTTCTTTTTGGGAGAAAAATTTATCTGATGCCAAAGATGCATTGTAATTAGATGGGAGACTATGCATCGGCTGGTAATCCTTCGGTCCTGAATTCATCACCTTCGGATGTAATGGAACCTGCTTACCAAAATTAGGCTTCATACTTGAAAATTTAAATATCACTTCATTATTAAAAATATTATAGGGGTTTTGGGGTTTTGGGGTTTTGGGGTTTTGGGGTTTTGGGG